CCTTTGCCGATCTGCCGCTTCCGCTCCATTGGAGGGAGAAAGCCGAGGGAGCCGAGGCCCTCCGCATCCGACTCCACTTTATGACTCTTGTCCTCCAAAGAACAGGTGACCATTGGAGCAGGCAAATGCGGGCGCAAATGCAGTGCATTAAAAACACATTTTACAAGCATGTGGGATCGCAAGGGTGTGATCCTGCGCCCCCGAAGCTGTCTCCGGATAGGACAATGCCGCCTTCAGTCGGGCTGAGCAGTCCAGCACGTGAGTGCTCCAGCACGCTTGTGTGCCAGCACCTTACCCTGGTACCATCAAGCCCCATATAGAATCATATTGGAAGCAACTGCAGCAAGTGCCGCCTCTGGGTGCACCCCCTTTCGGTGCGTTTGCGGTGGCTGCCCAGGTACATGGCCAAATTGCCCATCGTCCCAGGTTCCGCAGCGCAGCATCTCCTCACATCATCGCAACAGTCGCAATCCCTGTCCGCATCATCACTTCAGCGACTGGAAGTCCTGGTTGATTTCGAGCCGACGGTGGTTCCCCACGCCGTCAGCTTCCCAGCGAAGCTTGTCCCGGCGCGTGCCACGGATGATGACATACTTGTACTGCAGCCTTGCTTGCAATAGGGTGCCCAAACGAACGCTGCAGAGGTTCTGGCACCAAGAACCAAAGAAGGCAGCCAAAGCTTGTCCCAAGAAGCTCTTGCCCAAGCTCCACCTCCAAGGGGTCGGAAAGTGTCCAAACCTGAAACGGGCACGAATCGCTCCTCGAAAGCTTCTTCAGCTCCCGTCCCAGACCCATCGCGATCGCTCCCGCCAGTTCGGACGAGGAGCGGGCCACGTGTCCCGCCCAGTGGCTGGGTCGATGCAGCTGAGGGGCAAGGCCTGGGATCCTGCACATTTTTAAGGGCATTGCGATCGGAAAGCATGAGTCGCGGATCTGGCGACATGCCACACATCGCCACTGCGACAACCTAGCTAGAACGGTCAGCAGGGGTCAGCCTAAGGACTGACATACCAACATGCCCGTCCTGACCTCGTTCCCAACCTGGCATGGGCGCTTCGCCTTTCACCTCGGCAAAGACTCATGGGAAGGCTGCAAAGGAGGCTGCACAGGCCGAGGGCACCCTTGTGGGTTCGATTTCTTCCTTTGTTGTGAGAGATGGATTGGCTTGCGGTGGGTGTGGCAATTGACACGCCGACCTTGACTTGGCCGATCCCCTTGAGACTTCCACATTGTTTCTCGTTTGCCAGAGCATGTCTACCGAAGACACTTCGCCTGGGGTAAAATCCCTCGCCTAGCCACGCCGAGGTCATCTCCCGGGCGTGTCGCATCGCAGCGAACCGCCAGCCGGAGGAGGCCCTCCAAGGCTGCAAGTGAGGCCACTGCAGCATGATAGCACATAGGAGCGCGTTAAACTTTTAAGCAAACAATAATGATGCTACAACACATTATCGCACATCTGCAGACGCCCTGTGTCAGCACTTTGCTCTTGAGCGTAAAAACGTCCTGAGCCCCACAAAAGACCCTGTAACTCTCCAAAGCTTAAAGCTGTAGGCACTGCAGGGGCCGGCCTTCTTTGGGGCTTCAATCGAGCTGGACAAGCCCATGGCAGGAGATGTGCGGGACATGCGGAATCTACAGGGTCGCATGAAGTGCGCAAGGTGTGGGTGAAGCTTCTGCGGCTCGGGGTTCTCCCTGCTGACGACATAACATCGCAATGCTGCTGGGCCAAAAAAAGCGGGAACTTGTCAGGATGACAGGCTGGATGTACCCGTGAGAAGCAGGCTCCGACATCACAAGGAAGATCCCTCGCCTGGCAGCACATCCACTGGACGGGAATGACGCCTCGGCACTTGGAAGTCCGCTGTCCTAAGGCTCTTGATGCCTGCCCAGATCATGGGCAACTTCCAAGCGCTTCCATGTAACAATCTTCATGTCTCCGGTTTGGAGACTTACTTGGGCAAGAGATTAGCCACCTGCCCCTAGTGCAGTCGGCCGTTTGTCCTACGCAACAAGTGCCCTGCCCTCACATGTTGCTGCGCAACAATGTAACCCATGGCCAGAACCGCATCCGAACTCGGGGTCAGGCAGCACACTAGGAAGAAGGGCAGCATGGCCCGCACCTGCCAGAGTATGGTTGCGCCCTGCAAGTCCGGGTCCTCCTCTCATGGCCCTAAAGGGCGGGACCTCCCTAGTACGGGTTCCGTTGTGGCGAAAAATCTCGGGTCCATGCCCAGATCATGAGCCGCAGCCACCGCCGGTGTTCAGTGCAGTGGGAGAGGTCCTGGGAAGCTTCAGGGCTCCTGGTGAGGACTAGAGTCCTCTCGGTAAACACGAAGAGTGTTCATAGGGCCCTAGGAGCAGAGCCACGAATGCCTTGCAAGAAGCCTGAAAGTAAGCCTGAATACCCAAATGCTGCAAAACCCCGTCGCAGGGTCCTTGAAGAAGAACAAGCACAGCCCAATGATCCAAAGGACCTTGCGCTCGGTATTGGACTTACAAAGCTGCCCAACTTGTAAGCAACTGTAGTAGCAGCCTAGTTGAACCGTCGAGCCCTCTTGAGCCCTCTTGCATACGCGCAGGTTCAAAGGGCCGCACCAGCGAAGTAAGCATGGAGGCACTCATGGACGTCACTGCAACATGGGTGACCTCGAAGGAGGCTCTTCAAAAAAAGTGACTTGGGAAGAGGCCATGGAATCGTGGGAATGCTCCTGAGCAAGCCCACAACAACCCGAACTTCTCGCTCGCGAGGCCTCGTTGAAGCGGTCAACGCGGCCCTCCAGCTCTTCTGAAAGCTCCGCGTCGCCCCGGGCCTTCAAAAGGAGATTCAAAAAAAACATCGACTCCATGGAGAGAACGTTGGAAAAAATGCGTCGGTCGAGTTGTTTTTTCTCTTTCTTTGGCGGTCCCCGCCTTCCGCACGAGGTGCTCGTGCAGCTCGAGGTCTTGCAAAACCTGCCCCGCAGCGAGGCTCATCGGCTCATCCTACTGGAATTCAAAACAGGCAAGTGCAGGGTACTGCGTAGGGTGCATAGGGGGTGCATATAGGGTGCATATTATTATAGGGTGCATAGGGCGCATAGGGCGCATAGGGTGCAGGGCCTGAGATCGGCGGCAGAGCCAAATGCTGAGGAAGCTTCCGGCGGCGCAGACGACACCGTCGAGGGTCATCCTGGCAAACGGAGCCTGCCTTTTACCTCTAAGCCCTCAAACATCGTCGACAGCGCAACACGCCGGGGACTCCAAAATGACGCACCCCAGCCGCACGCCGATGTGAAGTTCCTCACGAGGCCGCGCCACTGCTCTCAATGGCTCTCAAGGACTCGCTTGCTTGATTTGTTGATATCTGTTGGTTTTGCCTGTGGATTCACTTGGTCCCTCCTCACGGCAAAGACCACCTCCAGCGACGAGGGTATGGCCAGAATGAAGCTGTTCACGATGTAGAACTGCAGAGCTGGCACGCGTAGCACAACGAGGGGCTCCCCCCTCCAATTCCTCCAATCCCCTGCAAGACCGACCTGAACCGCCGTATTTCGGAGGGAGCTGTGTGCCTGAGGCAACTACTCGAGACAGACCTCCAAGTTTCACCACCTAATGTGGCAAGAACGGAACACGAAGGGCCTCCGCGAATTTCCGCGTGGAGCCGTGAGTGATATGAAGCCCATCCCTGTCATTCTGAGCAACGCCGGAGGAGATTGAAGAGACGCATGTTACGACCACGTTGTCAAAGACACATCACAATGGTTGCAACTGCGCTCCACACCATTGGCCAAGTCGAAAGGACTGCACAGCAACCACAGCAGCCCCTGCGCCTTCGCCAAACCCGTGCTTCACAGCGCTCCTTCTCTGCCTGCAGCTGCCGCACCCCCGCAAACAAAACCACAACAAAAATCGCCTAGTACGAGTAGGGTGTCTACTACCTCCTCCAACGCCAATCACCTTAATGTAAACTCTGAAGCCCTCATGTGATCCCCAAGGCTCGGGCCGAGGTCTCTCGCAGCGCCGGGTCATCCTCATACCTGGTGGCGTGGGCTGGGCCCTTGGGCGCTCATATGTTCCTGTCTATAGCTTGTGTTTGATATGTTCTATATTGTTATGTATGAAATACATTAAACATATGTCCCGGCTTTCTGTTGTAGATCCATACATACATACATACATACGTACGTACATACATACATACATACACACATACATACAAATATACATACATACATACATACATACATACATACATACATACATACATACATACATACATACATACATACATATATATATATATATATGTTACTTATGGTTGTGCGCTGTTCATTCTCCCCCCCCCCCCCCCGCCTCCATGGTATCCCCCAAGCCCTATGGTATACGGTCTCCCCCCTAAACCCTAAACCCTCATACCTCAAGCCTAAGCCCCAAGACCCTAAAACCCTAAACCCTACAACCCTTAAGCCCTAAACCCTACAACCAAAAACCCTAAACCCTAAAACCGTAAATCCTATACTACTCCAACATCCTACCATAGCCGCCTTCCCTCCCCACTCCCCTCTGCCCGCTCCTACCCTCCTACCCCCCCTACACCTCCTTCTCATGTTGTGTTTATGATTCTTTGTGTGCATATATATATATATGTATATGCTCATGCTTGTTCATTTTCTGCTTTTGCACTTGTTCTTTGTTATGATCGATGGCTGGGGCTTGGGCTGAGCTGCCCATTCAGGCGCAGCCATAGCATGTGGAAGGCAGCTCTGGCAGCTCTAATGGCTGAAACTTCTGCTCCGTGTTAGCTTTCCACTGCGGCAGTTTTGCTACTGTGCCACTAGCCAAAAATTCAACCTCGCGCGTGGTGGGCAGTCTTGACCAGTTAAAGTGGCTCGATCTTTCAAACTTGGGCAAGTCAAGGTGCCATGCATGGCGTCCAGCCAAAGCACATGGAGTCTTGGCAGTGTAGCAGGTGTTCGTCGTGCCGCCGTCTGCAAGGGTTTTCACGGATTTGAGACCCCGACTTCTGCTTGATCCGAAGCCACGACCTGCACCTGGATGGATTTTGTTGGATCCACCGTTCACCACATGTACAAGTCTAGCTGAACACGCCTTCTAGAAAATTGCAGGTGCTGCGCAGCCTGACCCACCCTCTGCTGGGGCCCACGCCCCATGGAACCCTTCAGGATCGCCGAGGAAAGTTACCTGCCAACAGCTTCAAGTCTTGAGGCCTTTAGGGCCGTGGGGCCTTTAGGGTGCCCGGACCCTTCAGGGTTTTTGGGCCAGCACCCACCGGTCCGTCAATTCTGCCTTGAAAGGACCGTTCAAGAAAGCCAGGATCATAACGGTACCCGACCTGGATCCAGCGAGCGTCACTGGAAGTTGAGCTGCACACGCACATGCAACGAAAGATCTCGCAGCTTTCTCCTCTCAGCTTCTCCAGATCAATAGCAATAGCGTGGGCAAGAACAGTGTGGAGATGGAAACCCCTTGTGGCCATGCCAGGCGGGTTTTGCAGCGACGATTCAGCGTCACTCGGCACCGACCCTGTTTCCCATCGTGCTGACCTGAGCTATTGCACCGAAGGCGGGTCTCACTGATGCAGCACGGGCAATGAAGGCAATGATAGCAACGACTGTATATGACGGGCACACACACGCCACCCCTGCATCGCACGTTTCTTTCGCGCTGGGCTCTCTCGCTGCACGGATCTCAGACAGATTTCAGGCCAAGGACACGTTCTACTCAAAGGTGCAGTTTGCACATGGTTATATACGCAAAGGGAAACGCCCCCCCACTCACAGCAACTGCAACCCCCATTCTGGAACCAAAGGAACTAAGAAAACTTTGGCAAACCCCCATACACCACAAACCTTCAAGAAAAAGGGACCATCTACGAAGATTGGGTGAAAGGCTGCACAAAGCATCATGGTCGTGACTGGTGCTTGGTCTTACGTCAAGCGTGCGCTGGACCCGAGGCTTCACATGCAACACATGGCCTTGGTCCCTCAAGCTGCTGGGATAATGGAAAGTCTGATAATGTCAGCCCCTGGCATGCCCAAGCAATTTCTGCCTAGGCATAGTGGGCTCCATGACCGTCAGACAGGCTCTGCAAAGAGCTGGAGCTGCAGCGTGGAGCATCGGAGTTCATCGGAGTACACCAGAGCAGATCCATAACTCGCTTGATGCGGAGGCAAACTCAGAACATCATGCGGATTCGGCTAGCTCCACACGGGTCAATGAATCAATCTCAATCTTGCTGTTGGAAAATCCGGCCAGGCCCCGCAGTCGTCTCACACGGAGGTACAGAAAGACACTGGCAGCAGGGCCAGCCTGCTAGGAACCGGCAATTTAAAATCGAATCTGCAGCGGCAGGGCAGAGACTAACAGAAATGACTTAGGTGCAACGTGCGAGTTCCTTCATGATCATGTCATCCTGTCTGCCCTGCTAGCAGGCATACGCAGCCAACTCTTCTCAGCAATGTGTTATAGCTGAATCTGGTTGGGATGATTGTGCCTGCGTTGCTTTCCATGGCCGAGAAGGGCTACGACTTACAGAGCCGAGGACTGGAATCAAGTAGCTGAGAAAAGTCCTTTAAGGCATAGTTCCATGGTGCTTTTTTTCCGCCGCCCCCAACTCGCCTGCGCCGCACGACTACACTGACGACACTGACTAGGCTCCGTCTTGTGCCACGACACGTCTAGTATACAGCCATCAAATCGGCTTGTTCTGCGCTTCGAAGCAGATCTGGTGGTTGTAGAAGACCTGCAACCCAGCGCACGGAACCCAACCATACAAAGCACGGCAACGACGGCAACAACAATGTGCTCCAATGTGCTCCACAGGCGCCGTAACAAAGAATTTCTACACCCCAAAGCCTACACCAGTGGCACCTGAATGGCCTTCTACCCAAATGCAAGGCAGCCTTCATCCAATCAACTTTTCCAGGACTGGTCTTCATCTCACCTGAGGCCGGCCGTGCAAGCATTGGCAAGCGCCATGCAGCGCACCAAGGAAGTAAACTCCACCAGCACGTAATTGCAAGCCGCCCAGGAGCAGTTAGGTGAGCTGTCATCATTCCACGATCGGAACATGATGCCGCCATTGGGCCTCACAGCCAATGGCACGAGCGCCCTCAAAAACTTCAAACATCACATAAGAGCCCTCTCACTCTCAAACCCCGGACCCAACACCCTTCACCCAACCCCCTCTTTGAATCGGATGCTGTTCTGGGCTTGAAACCCCGTTTTCTGGGGCCTTCTTTGGGCGGCTTGCTAGGATCCCAGGGCCGAGCAGCTCCAAAACCATCTCGAAGACCATGCGCCCATCCTGGGAGCCCTTGAGAAGATTCCTGGGCGTAAGCTTGCAGAGTTTTTTGGTGGGATTTGGAAGTCTCTTGGGTTGTTTCTGGATTGTGTTTCTTTTGTTCTCTTCTTTTCTTTTCTCTCCGCTTGTCTTCATGTTTTTTCCTCTTGATCCTTTACTTTGGGGGGGAGGAAAGGAGGGTTGGGCTTCACGGGTCATGCAGATAAGGGGGGTAGACACGAAGACAGGAAGAGCGCGGGAAGACTGCACCCTGAAGCGGGCGAACTCCTCTGAAACTAGACTCTAACCAGACGAGCGCATGCAAGTCAGCAGCAAAGAACTCACAGAACTACCGATGCCAGAAACGCTGCCATCCTGAATCAGACGCCCTCGCGGGACAGCCTGAGCCTAGGCGCCCATGAACCTCGTAGCTCTGGCACTGGATTGGCGGGTCATGCTGGGCCAATTGCTGGAACACCTGAGAAACGCGCGGAGAGCAACATCAGAAAGTGCCAGCCTCAAAGAGCGAAATCCGACTCTGCGCAGCCGCAGCTCGGCTTAAAACTCTTGACCCTGGGTGCCTCTTGGACAAAAAGGCGGTGCCATGCCATGACTAAAGCGACCTAAGGGGCAAACAACCATGACAAAAAAAAAAGTAGGAAAGGCACCTGCCGAACCTGCGGGATACTCTTCCACATGCGCGCCTCTTCCTCAGCCACACAGAAGCTTGCGGCTCGCGTGCTTGGGCTTTTGCATCCGCCCCAGCTACCCAAACTTCTCATGAATACGCTCCTTCTCTTCAAACCCCGGAACTGAACATGCTGGAACCACATGGGAAGCCACAAGTCTCTAGTGGCGAGACCTTCCTGGAATCCGCTGCGGAAGCATAATACTCAAGCAACTCCAATATCTATAAAAGGGCGAGGATTTGTTGATGGACATGTTTTCGCGTTTTGTACCTTCATATTGTTAGTCTTGGGTTTCTTCCTATTTTCACAAGAAGTAGAGGTTTTCCTATCGAATACAGAGGATAGGATGTTTCTTATGAACATCGTTTAGAAAAAATTGGGCTTCATTTTTCAAAGAACATTGAGAAATGCAAGGAGGACATAAACGTCTCCACCGCTAATAAACAAGCAAAAAAAGCGTTGTGCGTTGGGGGGTGGCGGGGGGGGGGGGGGAGGGGGCGGGCCCACCCCCCCCCCCCCCCAACCCATGTGCAAACACGATACTCGAATCATGGGTTTGGAAACGATGCGCACGTGATCTAACGCAAGTCTGCTTTTCGGGCAGGATGTCCTATTTCCTCTATAGGTTACTAGGAATTCATAGGTAACTCTAGACCAAAAAGATCCAAAACGCACAACAATAGGTCTTAAATAGTTACTAGTATGCGGCCATACAGAAACCCTCCACTATATACATGTGAATATGTATATATGAGCATATATTATTATTAACAAATTAGTATATGAGCATATTCACTACATAAGAATGTTTTGACAAAATTAAGAAGAAGCCATGTTGATGAGTTTTCCTACACCTTGTAAGCCTGGTGTCCCACATGCGAATTCCCATGCGTCAGACCATACCTCATAGTGAAGTCATCGCCCTACACCCTAAACCCTACACCCTAAACCTCCACCTACGCATTTGTTGCCAAGAATCCAGGGTGCCGGGGTACTTCTGCGCCGCGAACCACAACTTCAACCTAGGCACACAAAGGCGGACAAGGGGGGGGGGGGGGCGGGGGATCGGGATCCTCTTTTTAGGCGGCGTTTCTAGGGGATCCCTACACCTAAAACCGTGAAAAGAGGCGATCCCTGAACCCCAAATCTCAGCAAACAGCCGATCCCAAAGCACCTCTACACCCCGTTGTTCCGAGCAACCCCCGCCCCCAATGCCAAGGCGCTGGTTTGCGGCGTTGAAGAGTGGGGATGGATCGAAGCCCGTGGCTGTGACCTGATCGGAAGGTCAGCCTTAAAATCATATGGGGGGGGGAGGTGGGGGGGGCGGGGGGGGGGCGGGGCCCGGTAGCATATTCTAACACATTGGTCATATAATGTACTATGATACATTGCAGCTATATGGTCACATATGAGAGCATACTCGAAGAGCTGAAAATGCACTACATCACGCGTAAGCACAGAGCAAGGTGGGTTACGAGATATAGGAGTGCAACATCATATACTTTAAAAGAAAATCGTACATTGTGAGGTGTTTCGGGTTCCGCGAACGGTTATTCGAAGATGCAACTAACAGTCGAACCAAGCCACACAGCGCTGCAGTGCAGGGCGGAGCGCCTCCCGCCAGCTCAGATGCCATCAGAGTTTAGGGCTTCAGGGATCAGATGGTTTGCATTTAGATGGATTGATTAGATGGTGGCTTTGATGCTTTAGATGGTTTATGGTTTTGGGGTTTGACCCATGTGCTACCGGTGCGGCTTGCTGAACCGTGAACCCAAGAGTCTCCTATGAGGGCTTCAGCTGCTGCAAGGCAGCGTAGGCGGCCTGCATGCTATGCGTTCCGGCCACGTTGACGAGCACGCCCAGGCAATTGGAATTCCTTGGAATGGACCACCCGAGCGGGAACCTGGCTACGCAATGCTACTTATGTCGCGCTGTCTAGTTGTCACGGCTGGCCAGGTTGGTTTTGGGAACGGCCAAAAGCCAAGAAGCCGTGGGCGTCCTCCCGGTGGAACGTTGAAGAGGACAATCTGCGAGCAGCGGCAGGCAAGACACAACATGACCAGCTGAATTTGCACCCAGATTTGGAGTCAAGTGATCGGCAGCAGCTGGTCAAAGACTCCGAAACCAACTGTTCTCCGACCTCTTCAGTGCGAATTCGGCTAGATTGCCTCGTCAGCACCGGTTGACCACTCCATGCCCAGCATCAGAAGATCCCAGGGCTGGTGCTTGAGACGGTCCATGAAGCCTGCCACTGCACACCCGCCCCCATTCCACGGGATTCGGAAGGTCCAACAGCGTTCTCCCCACCTGGAAGGCGCCTTCGTAGGTCCACCAGCTGCACCAACCTTCAAGCTCTGCTGC